AAAGACCTTGAATTGCAAGCGCTTGGAGACAAGCAATCGCACACACATACACATGTGTGAGTTTGCTGCATGAAAGAACCCACATCGAAATGGAAATCTCAATAAATCTCAAGGAAGCAATGATGTGCTTTTTGAAGGACATTATATGAGTTCAGTAGACTGTCACCTTAGAAGGGGAACAGATGGAAGAGCTGGTAAGAATGGGCGAATGATGTATCTTGTTTTTATGCAATCTTGGGTAGCCCAAGGGTTTATCTGGAGATATCATGGGCATATCTTGACATTTACACAATGAAGAATTATCAACAGAGCAAAGCTTGAAGGAAGGTTAAACAGTGCAAAGGGAGTCTCTCTCCACATGTGACATTCACACCAATTTCACATTCCTCATGACTGAGCAGTAGGATCACATCACTCACAGTCTTCCAATATCCACCACCAGACCTACACTTTCAAGCACATTTAGCATAACTGACTATGCAAAGAAATTCCACACAATAGCTTGTGATTACCCAAATGATTGGTTGCTTTGAGCCAGTCCCAACAGGATGACTGCATATTGATGGAAGGAACTGACCCCTAGCCCATCGTATTCTCTTCCCTTCTCTGCAATTCCTTGCTACTTTAGAGCCAATAGACATTAGCCCTGATAACCCTACCTTCTTATCACAAAAGCACACTCCCATGGTGCTGAATCCATAGGTAATTGAATCATACTCAGGGCTATTTGTATGATTGTGAATGGTATTTAAAAAGAAGACAGTCAGGTGATGACTGGGTATGCTGGCTTCCTTCTTTCTGAAAGATGCTATTGGTCCAATCCTTGCTGCAGTGGTTAGTCATATGGGGATTATGCAACAGCTACAACTCACTTCATTCCACCTTGTTCTCACCAATGAAATGGAGCTAAATATAAATAAATCTGGTGGCATCTCAGGATAGGTCAAGAATATGTTTGCACCGATGAAGATTACTGCAAACGTGACTTACTTCCATTTAACTCAGATCAAGGATGGGAATCATGGATTCTTTCATAACTCTGTTACGCAAGAGGATTCACAGATTAGTTTTTCTCTAAAGATGATCTTTTCTCCCATTCACATCAAAGCCTTAAATAGCTTGATGTGTAAATTGATCTGCTAACTCCTTCATTCGCTGTGATGATGATGCAGGAGATCTTGACTCTTGAAACAGGCCATTAGGTGAGCTCCACAAGATGCCATTTGGAATACCTTATAACTTACATTTGGTCTCTACATTGCGTCGCCATGTGACTTAGATAATCCTTGACAACCAAAACAAAGCCGTTCATCTCTTATCGGTATGGCTCGGCTGGGGGCCTCCAGCTCATATGCCCACATTCTGCAAGTGTTTTCACCAAGTGTGACCCTCAGCAACCTTTTCCGGGGCACTTATCGAACCAAACCGCTTGACTGGTTGAAATGACAAACTGATGAGTTTTCCATTGGGATTCATGCTTGTCGCTTGACTGGAACATGATGTTTTGATTCACTGAGAATATTACTGTAATTAGGAATGGGTCACTATTCTTGTTTTGTCTAAATGGGGAAAGATGTCTAATGCAATGTCAGTGTCTTTGATTTCCTCTGTCCATCTCTCTCAACAGCTGTTGTTGGAGGTGGACCAGAACACTAGCTTACTAAGTCTGCTTAATGTAAGCACAGCTCTGCAGGGTAGGGGGGAGGGTCTTTGGCTTCAACCATTGGTTCATCCTGCCCAGAGGACATCAGCCATCGCAACATAATTCATGTGTATTTGCTCATCTGTTAAGTTACATCCGTTGACCAGCTTGGCCATTGGAAGAGTGAGATGTGATGAGTGGAGAGAGGAGAGCACAGGAGTTGAGTGAAAAGAATGATGCTAATAAAACCAAAAGACAACAGATGAGGAATATATCATATATTGTGCCTATTGCATACTCCCATTGAAACAAAGAACTCTTCGTGAGCTGCTGCTATGAGATGAGAGCTTTTGCAATTACCCAAAGATTATCCAGCACATGACCCACTGAGAAATCCCCAACCCCAAAAAATAATCTAGCACAAAAACGCAATGATAAAACCTGTTCTAGTTTTGTCATTTCATGAAAACAAAGCCAAAAAGATGAAATAAGGGGAAGCAGGAGTTTCCCTCCTGAGGGGAGTGTGAGAATCAATCAGGTTGAGACAGGTCTATGACAAAACATTCCCTCAAGACAAGGAAGTGAATCCTGATTCATCAGTGGAGGAGGAAGTACAGCAAGCTCAGGCAAGATTCCCCCTGCAACACAGACATGGCCATCTAATACTTGGATACATTCATCTTCCTGTCTCTCTTTTTTGGACATATTAAGAATAACACAGAATCAGGAACATAATTCTGCAACCCTTGGCTTTGGTCCTATGAAACATTATGGCTAGAAATTTGATATTCAGCATGGAATTAGGATCAGCCTAACTTACATTACTGTTATCAAGTTTTGTTATTACTGCAGTTCATACACATCTTGTTAGTTGAACTCTGGTCACTGTGATAGAGTATGAGGCCCATCCTTTTTTCAAGAACTGTAAAAGTGGAGTTTGTCTTCATTGTAATTGAAAACTTATCAAATAGGAATGATAAAATAAGTATAAAATAGCCTTTGAAAGAGAGCAAAGGGTAAAGAGCATGTGCCAATAAAGACATTTACGATGTATTACAACTGCATTTACATCACCTTTCACTAGTAAAACTTTGTGATGTCCAAAATAAATGAAAGGTATAAAGAGAAACCAAAATGAGAATAAAAGGAACAGAATAACACACACACACACACACACACACACACACACATACAGTACATCATTCTTCTATGCAAATGTGTTTTTCTGTGTAAGATACTCTATGCATCTTAACCAACCAGTATCAGTAACAGGAAAGCATTTATAGTAATTCACCTTTGGCTAAGCCCTGCCCCCTCCCCCTTAGTTACTGTTGCTAACGTCCGTCAAACTTCATCTGGGCTCTGGTTTGGTATCAACATGGCTTATGCTGTGACAGCTCTTCCTGCTGAAAAGTTATCAAACTTTTATAAAGCAGCAAATAAAGTGTCCGATAAAAGTAGGCAAAAGGGGCTGCAATATGCGTTCGAAGGCTATATTCAAGACATACAGGTGAAACACAATCAGCAACAAGGCATCCAAATAGAGGCAAAAGCATAACGTTACTGGTCACAGTCAAAAAAATGAACCACCGCATATCCTACTAATTGAGACGGAGGCTGGGGACTAACAATATCAGGGAGCAACACTGTTCATGCAAAGCTGGGTAGGTCTCTATTCACTTCTATAATCGTTATTACAAAGCAAACGGACTACACGAGTATAACGTTGTATTTATTAGCAGCGTGTGCTAGCGTATCAACAACCGGTATGAGAACCGAAATCATAACTTAAAACATCATAAAACGGTCTAACTAGTATAACTTCACACTCACAGTAAGGTTAGAAGCAAAAAAGATGTGCTTGTTGATCTTTGCGGGGTTTAGCTGACTGAGGACATCCACACAGTTTAATCCAAAAACGACACTTGTCAGGATTTTACTTCGGTTTTGGGAAGGGAAAAAACGGACACCCCCTCCAACCTCTCTGGGAAACGCGTACCTGTGTTCTTGGCTGCTCTGTGATTGGTCAATCTATATTCTAGGGTGTGGCTTAGCCAAAGGCGAATTACGTGAATCAAAACCCATTATGTTTTTCCAAGTTTTATGATAGCATGCTGCTAAGCGAATGGGACAATACTCTATAAGAATAAAAAAGATAGCATTCGGAAATATTGCGTGAAGCTATTTTGTTTTTATTGATACCTTTCTGATTGAATGAATATTGATATCACTGTATATACCATGCATCTATAAATATGATTTTGCATTAATATAATTTAAAAAATAATATTAATATATGTAATAAAAACATGTATAATCAGCCTGTAGTTGTCTTAAATGATTTGTGATAAAACTGTATCTCTCTTCTAGTTCCTGTTTCCTCTTAGCCATCTTTTTTTATTTAAATGAATATTGGGGTGACTGGCATGACATTGTCATTTATAAATTATTCTTCTTAGAGGATCCAAGGGCAGCGTAAGTTTGGCCAAGTCTCGTGATAAGACTGCCAAGTTCTCTGCTGCCCTCCACGCCGTGCAAGTGCAACCTCGGGTGACTTGGAATGTTTGCATTCATTATCTTATCTATCCTAACGAAATCAATCTGCTGATGAGTGTCGAGGCATTGAGGAAACGCTGTATACGTCACAGAGGGGAAAACAGTCATAAAAAACACTGTTGGTTATGGTCTACATACGAAAGTGGAGCTCATGAAATGATTCCAAGATCCTGTTCTAATGACTTATTATTATGAAATCACTTAACATGGAAGTCTGGAGCTAATAGACACCTGTGAGGGTACTAACAGGAAATGTGGATTGTTTGAAAGTTCTGTTCCAGATGAGGGATTGGCTGTCACAATAACTGCATTAGGTTGTTTTTTTCTTGTACAGCAGCTCCAAATCACAACTGTCAGATTCTCTCAGCTCAAAAAGGATCAAATTGAGATTTAAGAAAGCTCTTATTGGCTTTTTGTTCATTTAGTAATCCGCCATGGCGGAGGTAGGTCAAAGGTCAGTCGGCCTGGTTGTATGGCACAAGAAAAAAGCATCTGTCAGCAACCCAAGCTCGAAATACTCATTACTCAAGGACAACTGCCACAAGTGGAAGGTTAGTTCCACACGAATAGCCTGGAATTCCAGGGGTGTCACTCCATGTCTGAGAGTCAGCTGCTCCGCCAGGGTGACCTCCAAGCACCATTTACATCAGAGTGCCGCCCGCTCCCTGGGTCACATGGGGCTGTCCCTTTTCAGCCGCATCTTGAATCAGGATCTCTGTTTGGAACAACCCTCTCCCTCCCTGAAGCTTCTCCCTGGAGAAAAGCGCTGAGAGAGACTCTGGTTTAGGTCAGTAGAGAAGCATCCCACAGATCAATGGCTGTGCTCGGTCACATGGGGAAGGGGATGCCGGTGGAGATGATAAGCTTCCATCTAATTACACTGCAAGGTCATTTCAAGGCCGCTTAGACCCTTATTCACCGCACCTCTGAAGGAATCAGCAAACATTCTGCTGTGGTAAAGCAGGTGCTTTATCCGAACCCCACTGTAAGCTGAGTAAACGCAGAAGAATCAAAGCAACTGATTGAGCAGAACAAGATTTTCTTGCCACCATGTTGTTAGGGTGTTTTTGGTGGTTGCTATAGGGCATTGCTCATTTTGCTAATGTCATTGTCAATCATTGCTAGTTTTGTCAAATATTGACATTATGCAATCATTGCATAATGTCAATCATTACTAGTTTGTGAAATTAAACCAAGGCACATAAAGTTATTTTATATATTTTTTTTATTTGAGAATTTGTTCAAATAGCTTGTTTTTCTAAATTTTGTTTTGTCGAGTTTGTTTTGTTTTAAATGTGTTCTATTAATTAGTTTTGACTTGACCAATAAATAACAGAATATTTATACATTTAAAGGGATAGTGTCAGGATTCCACCAGTTTCACTCACTCCTCCCACTCGTTCACAGTCCCCTGAGTTTTAATAAACACCTGCACCTCACCTGCAACTTGCCTGCATTCCATCCATCGATCACCTGCTAACCTTCACACGGAAGTTCAGTCTCCAGTCTTCAGCCTGTTCCCAATGACTCTCCGTCCACACCTGTTAACAAAGACTCTGGTTATCCTTCAGATGAGTTCCATTCTGAATATTGTCTTCTTGCATACTCACCATATCTCTGTCTGGATCTGCAACCTGTAATTTCACTCAGCACCTGTCTGACACCTTTTCCACCTGTGACAGACAGTTCACACAAATGTTATTAATTACTCACCCTCATGTCATTTTTTAAACCCGTAAGACTTTCGCTCATTGCAAATGAAGATCTGAGAGGTTTTTGTCCCTCCATTGACAGCTATGCAACTGATATTTTGACGCTTCAAAAAGGTTATAAAGAGATCGTAAAACGAATCTATACGAATGGAGCGTTTAGTAAAACAAATCTTTATACTGTATGATTAACAGATTGAATTTGTACTTTTATTCACATATACACATTGATCAGTAAACATTAGCTGAAGTTTAACCGAACCAGCTTGACCTCATTGGTTCTTGCAGAAGCTCAAAAACATGCTGCGTAACACAACAATGAACCTCATTGGCTCTTGCTGAAGCTCAAACGTGCTGCGTAACATGAGAATGAACCTCATTGGTTCTTGAGGAAGCTCAAAGTGCTGCGTAACACAAGAATGAACCTCATTGGCTCTTGCTGAAGCTCAAATGTGCTGCGTTACACAATAATGAACCTCATTGGCTCTTGCTGAAGCTCAAACGTGCTGCGTAACACGAAAATGAACCTCATTGGTTCTTGCTGAAGCTCAAACGTGCTGCGTAACACGAGAATGAACCTCATTGGTTCTTGCTGAAGCTCAAACGTGCTGCGTAACACGAAAATGAACCTCATTGGCTCTTGCTGAAGCTCAAACGTGCTGCGTAACACGTGAATGAACCTCATTGGTTCTTGTTGAAGCTCAAACGTCCTGCGTAACACGAGAATAAACCTCATTGGCTCTTGCTGAAGCTCAAACGTGCTGCGTAACACGAGAATGAACCTCATTGGTTCTTGCTGAAGCTCAAACGTGCTGCGTAACACGAGAATGAACCTCATTGGCTCTTGCTGAAGCTCAAACGTGCTGCGTAACACGAGAATGAACCTCATTGGTTCTTGCTGAAGCTCAAACGTGCTGCGTAACACGAGAATGAACCTCATTGGCTCTTGCTGAAGCTCAAACGTGCTGCGTAACACGAGAATGAACCTCATTGGCTCTTGCTGAAGCTCAAACATGCTGCGTAACACGAGAATGAACCTCATTGGTTCTTGTTGAAGCTCAAACGTGCTGCGTAACACGAGAATGAACCTCATTGGCTCTTGCTGAAGCTCAAACGTGCTGCATAACACGAGAATGAACCTCATTGGTTCTTGCTGAAGCTCAAACGTGCTGCGTAACACGAGAATGAACCTCATTGGCTCTTGCTGAAGCTCAAATGTGCTACGTTACACGAGAATGAACCTCAGTTTGTGCGTATTATACGCCATAAAGTGCAAATCATATGCACGCGAAAAGCTGTTTTTGCCGTATAAATGGCACGAGAAATGATATTCGTGCTATAGATACGAACGTTCATGAGATCGGGCTCGATCTATAACAGTGTCGGACTGTACGAACATGATCATCGCTGTAAGCCATGTCACACTGTAAGATCTCAGTTGTCATTAATGTCAGACTGTACGGCAGTCAAGACGCGTGCAAGAAAACTTGTCCGTAGTTTTGCATCAATCAATGACAATTTCGGTGACAGTGAGCCGCATTACACGCGGAATCTCTAATGTTTATTTTGGTCATGGCTTGCCTTAAAAAATGAAGACAATTTGACGGTTGTCGTAGGAATTACACTGCGGGACTGTGAGACAAATCTTCTGACACTGACAGAATTTCATTGGAGGTAAAATTTGATCGTAATGGTCATTAATCGGCTGTCAGTGAACATGTCAAACTAACGATCAAAGACTTCAGATTTTAGCCTAGGATCAGAGGATCCTTTTAGGACTTGCACAATTGGTCAAATCGTGGCCAAAATCGCACAGTGTAAACTCGGCTTAAAGCTTTTCAAGACAAGCATTACTGAACACATCATTGAATGATTATGTAAAACTCTGGACAAGTTATTGCGTGCGTCCGCTTTTAATCCGTCTTGACTGCCATCAAGTGTGACATTATTGACAACTGAGATTTTACAGTGTGACATGGCTTACAGCAATGATCATGTTCATACAGTCGTAAATCGCAAAGGTATTAAAGGGTTAGTTCACCCAAAAATGAAAATTAAGTCATTAATTACTCACCCCCATGCTGTACCAACCCCGTAAGACCTTCGTTCGTCTTCGGAACACAAATGAAGATATTTTTGATTAAATTTGAGAGCTGTCTCACTACCACATTGGCTCCTAAGGGAATGACACTTGGTGGCCCAGAAAGTCAATGAAGAAAATGTTTAAATATCCCACGTGACAACAGTGGCTCAACTATAAGTTTATCAAGCGACGAGAATACTTTTTGTGCGAAAAAACAAACAAAAATAACGACTTTATTCGACTATTCCTTTTCCGCGAGAACTGAGCTGAAGTAGTTGAAGGAGATCGCAATTCTCGCGCATGCGTCGTGGAAATCTAAGGAAGTCTCGTTTCAGGCCAACAAGGAAGAAAAGTAATAGTGTCGAATAAACTCGTTATTTTTGTTTGTTTTTTCGCACAAAAAGTATTCTCGTCGCTTGATAAACTTATAGTTGAGCCACTGTTGTCACATGGGATATTTAAACATTTTCTTCATTGACTTTCTGGGCCGTCAAGTGTCAGTCCCTTAGGCAGCCAATGTGGTAGTGAGACAGCTCTCAAATTTAATAAAAAATATCTTCATTTGTGTTCCGAAGATGAACGTAGGTCTTACGGGGTTGGTACAGCATGGGGGTGAGTAATTAATGACTTAATTTTCATTTTTGGGTGAACTAACCCTTTAATCGCAGTGTGCACCCACTCTTAGTTGGAAAGTGTCAGTAGTTTTTTAGTCAGATCTTTATAAAACGTGAAATTCTATATTTCCTCTGGTTCACTGCTGTACTTTTCCTACCATGTGACTAACCAGAACCAGTTGCCAACTTCCCAGGATATTTGGACAGTTGGAGTGGAGGAATTCAAAACAAGAGCGTAGCGTTCTCTTACCAAAACACTGTGGCCACGCCTTTTGGACGTTCCCCCTTGTTATCACAACGGCATGTAAAGGTTAAATCCAACATTGTTTGTTTAAAATACACACATGGATGATAGCGCGGAAAACAGACCTCACATGATCTTTAACCCTTTGCAGGTGCAACAAACTTGTGTTGTTGTGTGGATAAAGCCCTTATAAGGCAGCTGTGCTTGTGTTGGGTTGTTACGAGGGCCTTATGGTGGTCCCATCTTGGTGCAAGGATGAAGCTATGTCACGATCTGACACAGTCAAATCACCCTGACCGTGCCAGAGATTTCAGTTGTTTACTCTCTTTAGTCATATGGCTGTGAAATGTTTCCCCGTGAACCGAGAAGAACAGAAAACAGAGAACATGGGAAACACATTGAGTCGTGCACACATGCACACAGCAGGTGTAACCAACAGATGCAGCTCCATTAGATAAGCTCATAAAGCAACTTGCTGCCGGTAATGCGAGCAGTTCAGCATGTTAATGCGACTCGTGCATCTCTCTCGATCGCACGCATGTGGAGGGTGAAAAACACTCAGTGCATTTAACACAACGAGAATAGAGCAGCTGGGAGTTTGGTGAGCAAGCACATCTCACCCTTCAGGTTGTGTTTAAAGTTTAAACACACCCAAGTGCATGCAATTCGGCTCCAGTCTGGCTGCTAGAACATAGGCTGGTGTGCATGCGTGCTTATTGTCATGCCATGTGATCAGCTCTGGAAATAGCCGCCTGTCACAAAGGAGGAATGGATCCGTGTGCCCTCTCCGGTATGGCGGAAATACAACACTCAAAGGTGAACTTCAGCTCCCTCCGTTCCCGAAATAACCAATGTAATTTCAATGCTCACAAACAGTGCAACAGAGAAAGGGAAAGGAGCGAGTGAGTGACATGCCAGGAAAGAGCAGGAGAGCTGAATCTGTGAAAGTGAGAGCGATACAGTTCAGTTTTGGTTTCAGGGGATAGCAGGAGATTCAGGCCTTGAATCATTCAGTATTGATGAAGCGGATAATGGAACGCCGTACATCTCTACTGCATGTATGTTTGCCGTACAGACCTGCAAACGTGTGCAGCAGTGAATTTTTAAAGGGATGAGAGCAAAGAGACAAGTACATCAAACCAGAGCAGAACACAGCTATGTTCACACTGCAAACCAGTGTGTAATTCTTATTTATTTTTTAGTAGCCGTTCACATCATCTTTTAAATAAGGTTCATTACAGATAGTGACCTCATTTTGAATAGGAATTAGAAATTTTGATATCAGTATTCACATTGTTTTCAGTTATCCCATAACCTAAATTCTTGCTTTTTTATTTATGTTTTTAAATATTTCAATAGATTTTAGCATATTACATGTTTTTATTCAGTTAGTGGTCATATTTAATTTTGGGAGTAACGATTTCTTTAGTATTGTTTGTCAAATCTGTTACTGTCAATTCTGTTACAAATTTTCAACATTGCTATTCAGTCTTGGTAACTTAGTAGTAGTTTGATGGTAACAGAAATGTAAATTTAAAATCTTTCAACCCAAAACACCAATTGCTAGCATAAATGCTAAGAGCACATGGCACTAATGAAATCATTAATTATTCAGTCTTGGTAACTTAGTAGTAGTTTGATGGTAACAGAAATGTCAGTTTAAAACCTTTTAGCCCCAAACGCCAATTGCTAGCATAAGTGTTAAGAGCACATGACACTAATGAAATCATGAATAAAAAGACACTGATCACTGTGTGATATCATGGTAACAATTTCGAAAATAACTCTTGGTGTAGGAACTTTTTAGATTAAAATATCTCAGAGAGAGCACACATACCTTTCAGTGCATCAGATCTTATCAATGATGGAAAGTGTCAATTTCCTGTATCTTACATAGTTGTGGGAGATAATTACACCAATTTAAAGGTATGAATATATGGTAACAAAGTATGGTATATGGTAACAATAATAATGAAATGAATGAAATATTACCAAAAGAAAAGAAAAATAAATTATTTTGATTACAAAATGAAACATGATGGAAAGGCACT